ATAAAATGCAGTGGAAAAAAACTCAGAGGCATCACTAGTTACCTCTGTCCAGTTCACCCTCATATCTGACCTAACAGTAGCATTTAGCTTGATTCCTTCTTGGCTTCCTAGTGCTACCCTTCTTCGACCCCTCCTACCAACCTCGCCATTCCTCCTCAGCCTCTCTTGCCAGTTTCTTTTCTTTGCCCAGATGTCTTTGATTTAGTAGTAACTCAGGACTCAGTCCTTGGCTCCTGTCTTCTAATTAATTTCAGTCTCACAATTCATTATGCTTTTTCAATATTGACCGTCACACTCAGGGTCTTGCAGTCTTGCACATATAAGCACTCTTCCACTAAGCTACACCTCTGGCCCCCATTTTTTTGTTTTGAGAGTGCCTTGAAAGAAAGAAATGAAAAAGAAATACTCGTGTATCTACACAGGGCAGCCTGGATAAGCATGCAGGTGATTTCTGCTGGTCTGTTGAAAGGAGTAGTTAATGCTTAATTTTTTTCTCTGTAATTTTTAATAATTTTTGAGCAATTTCGCATGTTTGTATCTGGTAATCTGAGCAACTAATTTGAAGACAACAATACTCAATGTAACCAGTGCAGAATTCCAGTAATTTTATTTAGTGAAATTCTGTAACATTTCTAATTTTTTTTTACAATTTTTATTCTCTTTAGAGAGAGACAGAGACAGAGTGTCTTCCTAAGTTGCACTTGCCATCCTCCTGCCTGAGCTTCATGCATATCTAATATAGATGTGCATCTCCTCAGTCATAATACCACCTCAATGCTGATGACTCCTAGATGCATACTCTAGCCCAGAGCTCTTCTAAACTCCAAATTCATCTTGTAGTTGACATCTCCATTTGGATATTTAGTAGACATTTTCAACTTAAAGTTGGATTATTCCCAATGAACCTGCTCCACTCAATGTTGCCAGTTGCTCACACCAAAAAATGCCATCACTCTTGACTTCTTTTCTCTCAACAACCTTACCTAATTCATCACTATACATTTTAAGTTCACCGAGAACCACTTCTCACCACCTTCACTATAAGCACTATCCTCTTTTCCACCAACACTGAGCAATCCTTTAAAAACTAAGCTCTATGCCATCCCTGTTCAGAGCCCTCCGTTTCACCCGGGTCTCCACAATGGCCTGCGTGACCTCACACACATACCACTAACCTCCTTGACTTGATCGTTTTTCTGTTTACACTCTGGTTCACTCTAATTGCTGATTAAACATTTCCGGCATGTTCCAGCCACAGGAGTATGTCAGACTGACTATTCAATTTTGTCTGGCATGTTCTTCTCCCAGATAATTTACATAACTTTCATGTCTCCAAGTCCTTTCTCAAAAGTCACCTTTTGAACTGGACCAACCCCAAACACTTTAAAATTGAAACCTATGTATTCTTCAGCTCTCATCTCTTCTGCTCTCTCTCTTTTTTTTTCATGACACTTATTTTCTAGTATAATTTGTCTGTTTATCATGGTAATCACTTACTATTTATCTCTTCATCAAAATGTAACATGCCAAGGGATTTTAACTATTTTGCTCATTCATTTCTAGACATTAATGAATGCAGAACAATTACTTACACCTACCCAGAATTCAATAAATACTTGTTGAGTGAAATCAGTGAAAATACTAGGTAAGATTTAAAGTTTGATATAATAAAAACAAAATTGTGGGTGGAAAACAACAGAATTGAAAGCCAACTGGGGAAAACGTTTAGAACAAGTGTTTCATGTCTAACATAATAAGCTCTAGAGTTTTAAAAACTAATTTGTTGTGGGGACATTTTCCAGCTTGAAAAAATAACCTTTTGCTCAATCGGCAAGCAAAGCTGTTCAAGATAAATGCAGTAGAGAAAGCTAGCGTGAAAATTGTAGGGACTGAATAAATCTCTACTGTTTTCTTGCGAAGTATATCGTTGAAAAACATATACTACATTCAAATTTAACTGCTAAACTCTTAATATAATGTAAATTGGGATCTTTGTAACTATTCCTCATACAACACTTAAAAAACAAATTAAGATTTTTTAAGGTTATTTTTCAATTATCACTTTTATACTTCAGTATTATAGTATGCCAAGACCTAAGGTCAAGGATATAACGTGTAAATGACTTGTATATTTTCTGGATAATATTTGCATCTTATACTACATTTATGCAAAATCTAAATCTTCAATATTCTATTGTAATTTCTGACCTAGTTATTTTGTAGCTTTAAGTTGCCTCTATAGTGACAGCTCTAGTTTCCATTATGTATTTCTCTGGGAACAACTGAAGGAATTTAAATTGTCTACTAACCTCTGAAGTGGGAAGGTTTTCAAAATACATCCCAGAATTGTGGACTTCATTTCATCTAGGACTGGCAAAGACTCATTCCCCAATCTTTGATTCATTCTTTCACTCATACTTCTAACCAGTGTAAGATACAAAATTAATGAGTTGGATTGGCTTCTTAACTCAAAAATTTGCCTAAAAAAAACACTTTGCTTTGTGAACAAGAAAAGATCTATTTTAAGCACAACACCTGTTGTTCAGGCCTTCTCTGAAGATGACAATCCAGAAGTACTTTCAATGGCTTTCATTTGGATACACACAAAATCAAAATGAGTTGCAGGTGTGGCGATACCAGAGTGTAGGGAAAAGCTCTTTAGCACAATTTTAAAAGAAAGCACCTCAGTAACTACTATTTTTCCTAGTTTTCATTTAGTAAAATGGAACTAATTCCTTAATCTACAGAGTAGCAATAAGAGCAGATTCCTGTCTTTCTCAAGGTTACCACATGGATTCCATTTTAAGTAAAAATTCTGTGATACTATGAACTCCTAAGGGATTTGCTGCACAGAGGGTTGTTTTGTTTTGTTTTTGATTCTTTAGTTGAACACAAATCACTAAGGCCCAACATGGCAGTTCTTTCCTTAATTGGCCTGTCCTTGGTCCCCTGGATGCCTTCCCATTTGCAAAAGATCTATCTATCTGTTTCCTTCTATCACTCCTTTGTTTTGCTCTTTATTTCTATTTTGCCTTATTCAAATGAGAGATAATTTATGATATTTAAACTGTGTGTCTGATTTTTTTTTTCACTTTATATTTTCCAGGTGTATCTATTTTCCTATAAATGTCTCAAATGTATCTTTCTTTGTAGCTCAGTAGTACTTTGGTATGTATAGATAACACCATTCTAGAGCTAAATACATTATTTTACAACAGTACATTCATATCAATGTTTATAGCAGCACACTTCATAATAGCTAAGTTCTAGAATCAGCAATTCTAGTATGCCCATCAACAGATGAATGAACAAAAAATATGGTATCTATACATAATGGCATACTACTCAGCTATACAGAAGGATAAATTTAGAACACCATTTTAAATTATCAGAGAATATTGGGGACTTCTGAAAGCCTTTGTTTCCTTATTATGTGGCAGAACTGTGATGGCTTTTTGGCCATTTTTTGGCATATCCTCTGGGTTACCATTCGGAAGTCCTACAGAAGTTTCAAATACTTTTTTTTTTGAACCTGGGATTGAACTCAGGTCCTTGCGCTTGCCAGGGAAGCCACTTATTATTATTCCATTGAGCCATCTCCCCGACCCCTCACCTACTAATCTAGCTCACTGCTCTTTCAAACAATCTCAAATCTGCACTCTAAAAGTGCTTTTTTTAATATTGAGAGGATATTCTGTGTAGATCCCTTCACACACTGGATTGTAGAATAAGAAAGGTTCAAGTGTTGATAATGCTAGTGTCAGAAATCATTCCCAGATTTGGACTTCAGAGCTTACAGAGCTACAGTGAGTCTTCTTTTAAAGCAAAAGTTACAGCGTGTCTCTCAGGTACTGGGCATTCTCTATCACCTACATTGTGCATGGAGGTATAACCATCAGGAAAGGTAGAAAAAAATAAATGAGATTTTAGAGAGACATCTTCATAAAATGACTCAGGAGACCCACCTACAGTGGCCTCACTTATTACATTTAGTTCTCATCAAACTGAGGAATACACTTCAAATTCTAGGCCCCAATCTATTTGAAATACTCTCACTAATGGTTTTCTCTTTGATAGAAATGCCTTATTGAAGGATGTCACCTCATTGGCTAAATTCCAACGGACTCTTTAATAGCTGCTGGAAGCTCAGCCTAAAGAAAAGGGAAATCCCATATTCCACCCTGGAGACTTAATACTGGTAACAGATTTTCCTCATCATCCCTTTCCCTAGGAGCAACTTGGGAAGGACCATACATTGTGATCCTGTCAGCTCCATCATCCATCAAGGATAGCAGGCCTGGATTCCTGGATACACCACACTTGACTCAGGTCTTGGGAACCAGAGACTCTGAGTGTGAGCAACGATATTTGGAATACTTCTGCGAACCCGTAGAAGACTTAAGATCTTTGTTTAAGAAAAAAAAAAACCTTCAGATACTCTCACTAAAACCTTCATGTTACTCTTAGCCCTTTTACGAATCACTTTACCACTTAATGGTGAATGCAGTTCCTTTCTAAGGTGGACACAAGAATATGCAGAATCATTACAATAAATATCTAGCTAGATATGTGGCCTGCTCCCCTTGTCCAGTACATCTGGACTTCCTGGTAGGTATTCCCACTTCAAGAAGATGATTGGAAAAAAATACAAGACTATATTGATGAGTTATGATTGAGTTCAATGGTTCATAGGTTAGTCCACCATCACAAGGTATCTGAGACTCAATATGGGTAAAGGATTTTCCTCACCATATCTTTCCCTAGGACCAACTTGGGAAGGACCATACATTGTGATCCTGTCAGCTCCATTATCCATCAAAGATAGCAGGCCTAGATTCCTGGATACACCACACCTGACTCAGGTCTTGGGAACCAGAGACTCTAAGTCTGAGCAATGATATCTGGCATACTTCTGTGAACCCACAGAAGACTTATAAACTATACTCATTTTTTTTTTCGGAATCAGGGTTTGAACTCAGACCCTTGTGCTTACTAGGCAAGGGCTTATTCTACTGAGCTATCTCCCCAGCCCCTAAACTGTACTCTTAATGATGCTGGGCATAATAAAATTTGTTCTAACGATGCCACCTGAAGCCTCTTTAAAGGATCTAGTAGGGCCTCTATTAAATAAAAGTAAGGATCCTATCCTGAGGACTCTTATCAATAATTCATTGATATCAAGATGGCTATTTTCAGATATGGAATGATTATTTAGGGTTAACCCCCACTATAGGATACCTTAGTAGAAAGGCCCCCTTATGTTGGGAACAGAACAATTACTCCTATTATCATTGGCTTAACTCTACTAAATATTTGGGATGGACATGCCCTCAACAATGTATGTACATTATAACTTCACAGACTATAAGATTGGTCTGCAATAAACTGGTTTAATTGTCCCAGAATTAGATGAGAAGCACCCAATGGCACTCATTGGTCCCATGGAACCAATCTGTGGCCCTATCTACCACCTGATGGATAGGAAGATGCATACTAGCATTTGCATTGTTACAAAGCAGAAGTGTTGGAAGTCTTAACAAACCTGCAAACTTGCCCCATGTGTACAGTATTCATGGTCTAGAAGCTTGTTTCACTGGTATGATCACTTAGCTTCTATCTTTATCCCTTCCATAGGATGAAGAGCTATCACACACATATCAAGGCCTTCACTAACTATACGCAGCAGACCTTAGAGGGCACCACAGCTGGTCTCTCTCTCCTTAATAAAGAAGTAAAATTAATGAGGTCCTCCAAAATTGAATGGTATTAGACATTCTCAAAACAGTACACAGGGACACTAGTGCAATTATAAATGCTGAATGCTGTGTGTACATTCCTGATCCTTCTGCTAGTATCTCAATAGCTGTTTAAGATATTAGATGACAGGTTAATGACATATCAGATTCGGAAATTTCCTGGACCTTCTCTTTATCCTCTTTATGGAAAGCTATACTGGCTCCTCCTGGTGTAAAACTTTGTTGCCTATATTCATAATTATCCTGTTGATTTTATTATTTTGCCTATGAATATTTAATTGCTTCTGTGGCCTCATGTCCTCCAGACTTGAAACTATATTCATCCAAGACAAGAACACCTGGTGCCTATTGAGGGCCTTTAGATAGACACTCTGTGGAGTGTCTCTGATTGTTGATCACAACTACAACCCTCTTCAGCTGGAAGCAGCCAGATTGGTCTTTGACCCTCACCCCCTCATGGCAGTTAGGGGTACTTTTTCAGGGGGGTATATATTATCTACAACAGATAGCAATATTGTAAGCAGTCTGACAGGGCTGGGCCCTCACGAGGTCAATGCAGAAGACAACTGACTGGAGGTGTATTCACTGAAGGCCAGGCTTCAAGAAAAAGGGCTATTCACCTATATACTTCCCCTAGGAATGAATGGCAGTGATTGATATTCTAAATAGGCATCAATCACCTTGGAGCAAAAGACCAAAGTTCCTTACCCCTTCCAGAAAAGTCCCAGTCTGCCCATGTGTACTTGCTTACATGACTTGTTTCCCCATTTGATCCCCATTTAATCAATATTACCTTAGCAACTATACTTGTAATATACTTACTGGTTGACCATAGTTTCATCCCACTTCACATCCATCCTGCAATTTGCCATTGGATCAATATTAACTAAGTGACTACACTTGTAATCTTGACTGGTGATAGTTGTATCCCACCGTAAGTCTGACTCACCTGGTGGCTTTCCTCGATAAGACACCCTTAAGAAGGGGGGTTAATTGATAACCCATTTTCTGGGTCCTCTTCTGTCCCTCTTATATAGAAGCTTTGTTTCTCTCAAGAAATTCTTCCTATTTTTAACCTCCTTTGTCCCTTAAATCATTCCTCCATGTCAGAGAACATGAACTTGTCATTTTGGACATCTAGCAGGTTGGTAGTTTCATTTCTCTATATCGCTATTATCGTCCTCCCTCTCTCTGGGCCATGTCTCCTCAGATTTTTCTCTCAGTCTTTACAAGATTGTGTACAAGTGATTGCCAAAAGACAAATACCAGCTCTGATGTTCCCCAAGATTTTTCTCCCAATTTGGCTGTGCTTGACACCCCATTTGTCTCATCTAAAGCAGCCCTGAGGATCTGTGCCCTCTTCCCCACACCTCTCTATATAATAACAAAAAGATGAGGATGTCAGGCCTAACCTGAGAGTGGCCTGAGAGAGACCTGGGCAGCCCACTACTGCCCAAAGGCAGCCCTAAGCAAATAAGCATTAAAATCCAGAAAGGAATCTAGGAACCGATCTGAATTCTTCCTGATGCCAGCTCTATCTACATACCTGCACTGAGTGTCCTGTAACTTTGACTTCAAATATTTGAGATTGTGACCCCAGTCGATATACATATTAGCCTTCCCTCCAGATAGCTGCTCATAGCACTCTGATCTCAGCCTGCCTGTATGTCAAGTGAAATAAATCTGATCTTTCACACACACACAAAGAGGACATGTCCCTGGTGATTTTAATAGGATGCTCGGGACTAGGTGGCAAACTAAGCAAAACTTTCCTAGCAACCTATTGGACTATTTATTGACCTCTTCCTATTTCAGTGAACTTTTTTTTCCCCTCAAGTGCATACAGGTTTCTTGTGTAAATACAAGCTTGAAAACTGACAAAGCCTGAATCTCTGTCTTGCGCCACTGCTTTCCGCCCATGCCTGACCGGAGGCAATCCTACTGAGAACATTTTCCTATTCTGTTTTGTTTCCAGAATTGATCACTTTCTTCATTTTCTGCATCCCAAAGTTCTTCCAACCCTTGATATTAATATAACTTACAAGAAATTTAGCCAGTATTTTATTTTTATTTTTCTTTTGTTGGAACCAGGGATTGAACTCAGGCCCATGCACTTGCTAGGGAAGTGCTTATTCCACTGAGCCATCTCCCTGGCCCAAGCCAGTATTTTAAATGAATATTTCACAGTAAAGATTGGTTTCTATTTCACTTGCTGGCTCCCTTCTCATCAAGGAGTGCCAGACCCTGCACCCAGTAGGGAGCACTCCACACTCACAAGGGCTAACCATAGCAGGAGTTCTGCTGCACAGTTTGATTTTATAGTTTCTAGCAATGAAAATAGTCATAGGAATTCTAAGTTTATTTTAAATTCCAAGATCCATTAGGGGAGGATAGGGAACTGCTAGTAACGGGCATTCAGCTCACTACTCCACTTTCTACGAACAGCTCTAAGTTCAACAAAGGCCTTTCTGAAACAGTAGTATTACTAAGTAATTCAGCAGCTCAATTAAGAGTTTTGTCATTCAGGAGGCTGAGGCAGGATTGCCATGAGCTGGAGGCCAGCCTGGGTTACCTACTGAGTTCAAGGCCAGTCTGAACTACGTAGACCTTGCATCAGGGGGGAAAAAGTTTGGGGTACAGATTGTTCTCTCTCTCTCTCTCTCTCTCTCTCTCTCTCTCTCTCTCTCTCTCTCATCTTCTTTTCCCCTTCCTCCTCTCCCTCTTGCTGTCTCTCTCTTTCCTTCTCTCCCCTCCCTTCTCTTCCTGTGCCCTTCTCACCCTCTTTTCCCAAAATACTGTTAAGTTTATTTTTAAATGTGCCTATGAACTTACCTATACATTTAGTACAAAGTCATCCATGTAGCCATCGACATTTTAAATATTCACAAAAGTTTATTTGGAAACTTGAACAATACAAAAATAGCTCAAAACTCCTGTTAAGAAGCATAAGTTGGGAGAATTAGCGAGATAGCTCAGTGGACTAAGCACCTGATTAGGCAAGCACAAGGACCAGGGTTTGATCCCAGGTACTCCATGTCACACTCTACCCCCGGGCATGCTGAGAATGAGTGTGGCACACGCCTGTAATGCCAGCGCTGGGGAGGCTGCAAACAGGAGGACCACTACGAGTTTGAGCAGCATAGTGAGACCCTGCACCATATACATTAAAAAAGCATAAATTGGGGGTAAGGGTGAGCTCAGCAGTCTAAGTGCCTGCCTGGCAAGCTCAAGGATCAGGGTTCGATCCCCGGTTCTGCATGCTGTGTCGCCCAGGGAAACCATGGAGCACTGACCTGGCTCCAAAACAGCACATGGAGGCATGCATCTGTAATCCCAGCGCTGGGGAAGCTGAGACAGGAGGATCACAATGAGTCTGAGTTGTGTAGTGAGACCCTGTACCAAATAAATAAATATTAAAAAAAAAAGTATAATGGAAGGGAGGAGATGTAGTCTTATTTAGTCAGATGTTAAAATAAGCTAGTAATGACAAATGTTTAAAATATTGCTAAAAAAGGAATTTAAAATATTACTAGATTAAGAATAAACTGATTTAACAGAATTAAATGTCTAAAAGCTAGTCATGGTATATAGAGGAATTTAGCTTATAACAAGTGACAATTAAAATTGGCAGAGAAAAACTGGTCAACCAATAAATATATGGTAACTAACTCATTATTTTTATTTATTCTAAAATATTCCATAAAACAAACATAAAGGTATAACAAAGTTAGAAAAATTACCAACAATATAATAGTAATTATCAAGAATCATTGACTATATGAAAGTTGGAGGAAGAGACTATTTCATAGCCTCAAAGTACCTCTTCACAAATTAGTAATTGCAATGAAAAAAATATAGTAATTTTACAATGGATTAATCCAATAACTACAATCTCCACTAAGCAACTCAACTTGATATTACTAATAATGGACAAACAAATACAGTGCTCTGTGCTTTCTATCATGTTCTGGAACTATGACTGTTGTGATGTAGCTATCAAAAAGTAAAATCTCCCTCAATCATGACAAAATGAGACAAACTAAATTGCAGGACATTGAACAAAACAACTGGCTTTTACTTTTCAAAAATACCAAGGTCATAAAGATCAGGAAAGGCTGAGAATTAAAGGAAGTAAAAAATGAAGTTAATTATATTATCCTACATCTTAATAAGAATGAGATAAGCAAAATGTGAACATAAACTCCAAATCAGATATTACTTTAATGATGGTATGTTTCCTGACTTTGATAAATATAGAGATTATGTAAGACAAAAATTTATTTTTAGGTAGTACTGACATATCTAGAGTTGAAAAGTCTGGTGGTTTGGAAAATACTTACAGACAATCTGATGAGACATATAAGAAAAAATATTAACAATTAATAACCTCGAAAAAGGAATATAAGGGTTATACATTTCTCGAAACATTCCTGAAAGTATGAAATCATATCAAATTTTAAAATCATCATACCTAATAAAAAAAAATAAAGATTTAAAATGATGACAAAGGCATTCGTTTACTGGTTTAAAAAAAATTGTGCATATTGTGTAGTGAAGAAAAAGCACAAGACTCACTTTATCCTATTTTGTTATATATATGTATCTACAGATGCATAAAAAATCCACAAATGATATTCACAATTTTAATTTTTAATTATTATTATTTTTAATATATTTAGTACAGGGTCTACAAGATCTCACTACACAGATTGGACTCATAGTGATCCTCCTGATTTCAGCCTCCCAAGCGCTGGGATTACAGGAACGTGCCACCATGCCCAGTCTCATTCATTGTCTCAGCGTGCCCTGGTGGTGGGGCCAGCACAGCATGCCTGGGATGGAACCCCAGCCACTGCACCTGCCAAATCAGGCGCTTTAGTCTGCTGAGTTAACTTGCCAGCCCATATTCAAAATTTTAATATCTGTGATTAAAATTGTGAACAAACAAATACAGTGCTGTGTGCTTTCATCCTATCATGCTAGGATTATGTGTGACTGTGTTCCTCTGTTTCTAATTTTCCTACAATAAACATGAACTGAAAGAAAAATTCTCTTTCTGGGGAAGAAAGGATATCTTAAAAGAAAGAAAGAAAGAAAGAAAGAAAGAAAGAGAGAGAGAGAGAGAGAGAGAGAGAGAGAGAGAGAGAGAGAGAGAGAGA